TTTCCTCCCCGTGCCGAGGGTCCATTTTCATGAATTCATAGTTACTGCCTTTTTTTTTTCAAAATAAAAGCAGACATACATGAGGGGGCATCCTCACCAGAGAGTCAAGCTCAGAAGGTTCACAAGCAAACAGGTGTGTGTTGACTCCCAGTGTGGTGAACACGGCCTCATCACTGGGACGAAACACCGCCTTTTCTGAAACACAACGTAAAGAGAATGTGCATGTTGGTGAAGAAAGCTCATGTCTGTGGTTGAAGTCAGATAATCCGTCGTGGTCTGGGTTTCCTGACCTCCAGCTGATGTGACCGCCACCAGTATGAGGTGTCCTGGCAGGACTGGTTGGTCTTCACTGTACTGGAGTTTCTCTCGGACCAGAGCCAGAATCTCTCCGACCCGACAGGACAGGCGGCTCCTGATGGTGACGTAGGAGTGATCCGGAGTGTAGACCCTGCAGAAGACTGGACGCACACATCCACACACACATCTTTAAGTAAACAAAAATGACATTAATTTAATCAATTCTGAGGTTTTTTTTATTAATTCATTAATTGTTTTTTCCCCCTTAAAAAAAGAATAACATGAGCCCAATCTTTTTTATTCTCTAATAAAAGGATTAAGAGGTTTTAGAAGCTTAACGTGACCTTTAATGTCCCAGTAATTTTGATTTCCCTACAAGGTCTGTAGCTGTGATACTGTAGCTTTTGTGTTCCTCTGGTTTGAGTTAGCTTCAACATCTTTCAGGCTAAGTTCTGTTAGCCTCTAGCTCCTGGATTTAGCTTTTCATTTCCAGTTCCAGTAGGCTACCAATGTTACCAACGAGCATTAACGTTCTAGTTTCTGAAAGAGTGCAGTCAGCTTAAGCATTTGCTCGTCTGCAGTTACAGAAGCTTCTTTAAGCATCAAAAAGGAGAACATAGTCATTCATTAGAGTTAGCTTCTGTTAACATAGAGTTAGCTTGTTATTTTTAAGACCAAGAGTTAGCCTCTTCTTAGCTAAGAGCTAGCCTCTAATTCTACTCAGTTTGAGCTTCTTTTGCCCCGCAGCTCTACTCAAACAAACACAGCTACATACTGGGCTGATTTATGACTTAGCTTGTAGGCTAAGCTAACAAGTTACAACATGTAAATCAGACGGTCAAGTTTCTTTCTCCTTTGATGGCGCAAGGCTAGAAGTTTCCCCCTGCTTCCAGTCTTTATGTTAATCTATGTTTAATACCATTCAGGATTTGTGATAGGCTAGTCTTTGAGAAGATGTAAACAGTGTGTGCGTGTGTGTGCGTGTGTCCTGGGTGTGTCACTCAGTTTGATTTTTATTTGCAGACCACAGACTGCAGGTGTGTTTGTATTTCAACCATGTGTGAGTGTGTGTACAGTCTGGTGTAGCCTTGTATTTCTACCCTTGCACGTGTGCAGGTGTGCGAAGGTGTGTGCGCGTGTGTGTGTAAGGACGTGTGTGTCTCGTACTCTCGTCTGAGCCTCTGAAGGCCTCTCGCGGTTGCAGACAGGCGTCGATGCGTCTGAAGTGTCTGAACAGAGGACGGACCTGCTTCTTCCTGCTCTCCTTCTCCTCGTCAGAGCTACAAACACACACACACACACACACACACACAAAAAACAAACAATCAAACAAACAAATAAGCGATTGAATGTAAAATTGTGCACAATATATACTGCACATGATAATGATGTAATGCATTTCTAAACATAAGTATAATAAAGTATGTTGGTGTTTATCTTACGGGCAGTGTAAGATCTCGGTCCATCTCTGCAGTTTGAGCACGTCCTCCACCAGCTCAGGGTACCGACTCAACTCCTGAACTGCACACAGGTAAAGCTCCTACAAACACACACACACACACACACACACACACACACACACACAGGCACAGATTGTAAACAAGAGAGGACACATAACAAGTGTGTGTTTGTGAGAAAAAAAAAGGTGTGTGCTGATCTGAGTTGGTCTGTTTTTTTCTGTAACTGTGACAACCTTGCACCAAAAACAACGTGTCCCACCCTGCAGAGGTGTTGCCTCCTGTGTGGGTTTCAAGTATTACTCTTAACGTGTGTAGGAGACCGTTGAAGGGGAATCTTGTTGTTTTTCTTTTTACTTTCTGGTTGTTGTTTTTTTTTTAGCTTGCTGTTCTTATATCTGTGTTTATGGCCGTGTGTGTGTGTGTGTGTGTATTGCAAATTGGGACAAAAGTAGTGTCTCCGGTTTGTGAATCGCTGATTGAGTTCCAGTGTTTTAGGTTTTGGTTAAAAACTTGTTTGAGTTGCGGTAAGAAACGGAGAAATGGATCTTTAAGACTAACAACTACTGTGTTGTGACCGACCAGAGAGGAGGCGGGACATAACGTTGGAATGTATCTGATTGGATCGCTAGCTACAACAAAGAATGTGTGTGTGTGTGTGTGTGTGTGTGTGTGTGTGTGTGTGTGTTGTGTGTGTGTGTGTGTGTGTGTGTGTGTGGTGTGTGTGTGTGTGTGTGTGTGTGTGG